GGAGCCCGAACGACTCACACCAGGAAGAGGGGCCCGAAGGACTCACACAAGGACGATGGGGCCGAACGACTCACACCACGAGGGGCCCCAACGACTCCCACCAGTCGTCGTCGTCGTCGTCGTCGTCGTCGTCGTCGTCGTCGTCGTCGTCGCCGCCGCCTTCGTCGTCGTCGTCGTCGACGTCGTCGTCGTCGTCGTCGTCGCGGTTGTGGTCGTCGTCGTCGTCGCGGTCGATATCGTCGTCGTCGTCGGGTGCGTCGTCGTTGTTAGGATCATCGCTGTGGTCGTCGTCTCCGCTAAATCCCTCTTGCCTCCCACCGCTTTCTCTCCCTCCTCCTCCGCCTCGTCCTTCTCCCGCTCCCACCACAAGGAGGATGTACAAGGAGGCGGGAGGAAGGAGGAACAGGGGAGATATGCGGGGGCAAGCGGACACACGCCTGAAAAACACGACTGTCGGCATGCTTCGCAAGAGTTGCTGTTTTGAGATGGGCTGGTGGGGATACGCGAAGCGTGAAGAATTCGGATACAACGATCCGCGGCCCATGCCGACCCCCCTCGCACAACAGACGCTCCCCCGTGCCCCACCCCCACCCCTCCGTTCCTCGGGCACGCGAGGCGAGCGAGAGCTGTGGGGGATCCGCGCAGCCACGCAGCGTGATGGCGTAGTGTTGTCCTTACGTTTCCCTCGATATCTACATGGCACAGTCTACCGTTCAATGGCCTGGGCTGATAGAATCGACGCGCGAGACACTGAAAGCAAACTCCGAAAGCCGACTAAGCGCAGGACGGGGACAGGAATCCGGGGAGCTTGTAGTACTCGGGGACAATGTAGCCGATGGTGGCGAACATGGACACGCGCCCGTGCTTCAGCTCGACCTCCCGCCTGCGGGCGAAGTTGAAGGCGCTCCCGTCGCTGGACAAGCCCAGGGGGTCCCAGAAGCCCACGGGCGGCTGCACCCCGGTCTCGCTCTCGAAGGCGCAAGGGCGAGTCGGTGTAGAGGGCCCAATCGCCCCACGCGGACCCTGTCAGACCGTCCTGGAGCTCGGCGTACCGTTGGCGAGCTCGGCGTTCAGCTCATTCCTGTACTCGGGGTCCGTGAAGCCATTGCTAGTGAGGCCGATGCTCTTGACACCGAGGAATCCAGCGCCGTAGTTGCCCGGCTCACCCTTCACCGGGTCCTTGTAGATCTGGACCTCGGTGATGCCAGCGAGGGTAATGATCTGCAGCCAGCCCAGGGCTGGCACCTTGGACAGGGCGCCCAAGCCGTTCGGCACCTCACTGAACTGGATGCCGTAGGACCTGTCTTGACATCGATCGCGCGAATACTTCAGCTGTATCGGACTCGGTCCTTCGAAGCATGAACATACCAACGCATAATTTTCAACTATCCAGAACTGGAACGTTGCGGACAAATCCACCGACCCGTTCGGCGTATGTGAAAGGATGAGGACATCCCACCTCCAATGAATTCCAATTTTCCCTTGTGGCCATCGTGGGCCCCCTCCCCTGTCTTCTCGGGCACGTTTCCCCACCAAGGGAAATCTAGCAATGTCGCCATCAAACCAAAGAGAAGGGGGGGACGGTCACCAAGAGGTACGAGTGGTGGGGATCCCGGGGGAATCATGCCCCCCCTGGGGTAACCATTCGAAAGCGTTATGGCGAGCCGTACCAAGTGCTGCACATTTCGTACACCATGACTCATTCACACAGTTAGTAAGAGCGGACATGTGAGAGATAAAGCACGCAGAATGCCACGTAGCTCTACGAACACTCTTCGCCATTGTTCAGGGCCTTGACGAGAACACCACTTTGGGGTACATCGCTTCTGCGAACGATCCAGGATGGATTCACCCCCAGAACTGATTTTCTCGTCGAACCCGTGGACAAACAGAAACACGCAGAACTCCACGTAGATCTACGAACACTCTGCGCAAGTTTTCAGGGCCTTGACGAGAACACCACTCTTGGGGTACATCGCCTCTGCGGTCGCTCCAGGATGGATTCCCCCCCAGAACTGATTTTCTCTTCGAGCCCGTGCAAAGAAAAAGAAACAGGCAGAATGCATCGAAGCCCCACGAACACTCTGCGGAATTATTTCAGGGCCTTGACGAGAACATCACTTTTGGGGTACATCGCTTCTGCGGTCGATCCAATATGGATTCACCCCCAAAACTGATTTTCTCGTGGAACCCCGTGAAGAGATGAGAGGGAAACGGATAATGCCACGTAGCTCTACGAACCCTCTTCGCAATTTTTCAGGGCCTTGACGAGAACACCACTTTTGGGGTACATCGCTTCTGCGAACATTCCAGGATGGATTCACCCCCATAACTGATTTTCTCGTCAAGCCCGTGGAGGAAAAAACACGCAGAATGCCACGTAGCTCTACGAACACTCTGCGCAATTGTCCAGGGCCTTGCCGAGAACACCACTCTTGGGGTACATCGTTTCTGCGGTCGATCCAGGATGGATTCACCCCCAGAACTGTTTCTCTCGTCGAGCCCGGGGGGACAAAAACAAATTAGAATGCCACGTAGCTCTACGAACACTCTGCGCAATTGTCCAGGGCCTTGCCGAGAACACAACTCTTGGGGTACATCGCATCTGCGGTCGATCCCCGCCTCGAGCGCGTTTCTCTGTTTCTGGCGATAATGGGCATTGCAGGGGGGGGAGGGGCCAGGCGGGGGGTATAATGCAACGTCTCCCCCCCGCCGTGCGCACGGCGGCAGTGCCCGGAGCGCACTGGGGGGCGAGGGGCGTTACGTTAGAAGGGGGAGGGGGAGGGGGGGGGGGGGCGGGGGCTATAATGCCCATTTTGCCTCAAGCAATAAGGAAGCACGCTCCAATGCGCATACACCGATTCTGCCAAGGCCCATCCTGAGCCCAGCGCCTTCCTGCCATGGCCAGAAGGCGGCATATGCGCCGATCGTCGGCCCAGGATGGGCCTGGCCAGAATCGAGGCATGTGCATCGAATTCGACAAACTACCATAGGAGCTCGACCACAAGGAGCCTTCCGCAAGAAACCCAACCCTGAGACGCCAGAGCGTCCATTGATTCTTGGTGTGGGAACGCCACGCGCTCCATAGCCGAACCATCGAAACCCAAGAAACCCAGGGCACCCTGTCAGTACACCGGCCTTGCAAACATGATGCAGCGAATTTCTGCGTGGATTTCTGCATGGATTTTTGCCCGAAGCGGCGAAAGAACAACGAAGCGAAGTTCGCGTGGATTCTTTCTAGTCCTCATTCCTGGCTAAACAAAATCCGGTCGAAATCCCACCAGCCCTCTGGGCGTCGGTGGTTTAACGAGTTTCCTCTTCCACCCCTCCCTTTTCCCCTTCGGGGAAGGGTTTACCCCTCCCCGTACCCCCTCCCCACTGACCTGGACGGGGGGTTCCGCGGCGCGTTGGAACGCCCAAGATGGCCCAAGACGGCTCCAAGAGGGCCTCAGGGAGCCCAAGATACCCTCCAAGATGCCTCAAGATGGTCCACATGATGTTCCAAGACGTTCCAAGAACTCTCCAAGACGGTTCCAAGTGCCCACAAGAGCACCATTAGGATGCATCCAAGAGGCCAAGATGCTTCAAAACCCTATGGTAAATCAATGTTTTTGGTGTTCTCACTTTTTCGCTTGCGATGCACATCCGAAGCGTCAAGATGGCTCCAAGATGGCTCAATATAGCTCCACGAAGAGCCCAAGGGAGCCCCATGACGGCGCCAAGAGCGCCGAAGAGCGCTCCAAGAGCGGTCCCAGAGCGGTACAGAAAACGATTTTTGGAGTTCTTGGAGGGGGGCTCTAATTAAAGAACCCTGCTTCCTTGACCGATGTCCCCCAAGAGGCCCCCAGGAGGCCCCCAAGAGACCCCCAAGAGGCCCCAAGAGACCCCCCAGAGGCACCCAAAAAGCGCCCAGGAGGCCCCAAGAAGCGCCCAGGAGGCCCCCAAAGGCCCCAAGATGGCCCCAAGAGGCCCCAAGAGGCCCCCAGGAGGCCCCAAAGAGGATCCCGAACGGCCCACATAGGCCCCCCCGAGGCACCCAAGACGCCGAAAAAACCCTCAGGACGACCCTCTACTCGCCTGGGCGTCGTTTCTGGACGGGCTGTTGGGGATTTTTTGTTCAGCCGCAGGCGGAGGCGCCGACGGCGAGCGGTCACGGTCGGGCTGCGGCCGCGACTAAATTGCGGGCGCGCGCGGAGCCGCGGATCAGGCGGCGAGCGGCGGCAACCCAGGGCGTCTGGGGGGCCAGCGGGCGTGCAATCCAGGGAGTCTGCAAGGACAGCCTGAGAGGAAACGTGCAAACGGCAAACCCAGGGAGTCTGAGAGATCAGCCACCGAGGGGAGCCAGCGCAGCCAAAATGGCGCGTGGGCGTTCCCGCCATGATCGTAACAAAACGACAGTAAGGTAGGGAACGATCTCCAGGCAGGAAAGTCAGTCCAGGGAGTCTGACGGGTAGGAGCAGACAGAGCTGGAGACGCGGTCCTGCAGGGAAGTACTCTGACGGCGCCAGCATACCGTCGCAGCATCAGAACAGGCATCCGTGAGGTGGAAGCTGAACCCCGCGGGCAGAGGTAGGATCTTCCACTGTGGAGATGCGCCTGAGCCCAGTGATCCAACGGTCTGGACTGGACCCAGCGGAGGCACCAGCCACTCGGTGAGAACGTGAATCGCTCAGAAAGTGTGCCGATCAATGTGGCCCGCGCCAAGGCCCACACGCCCAAGCGTGGAGGCGCGCGAGGGACAGGACCGCCGTATACCCAAGGACGCGTCCCTCACAGCCACATCGTTCCGGGAGCACGGCTGAAGGCCGTAGTAGCTTGAAGAATCCAGGGAGTGGCGCAGACTGGGACGGGCGAAAACCGCCAGGTCGGCCACAGCCGCGCGCCAGGGCTGGTGGGGATATATTTTTTTTGCAGCCGCAGGCGGAAGCGCCAGCGGCAAGCGGTCACGGTCGGGCTGCGGCCGCGACTAGGTGGGCGGGCGCGCGCGGAGCCGCGGTCAGGCGGCAGGCAGCAGCGACCCAGGGCGTCTGAGCCAAGGCGTGCAAATCCAGGGAGTCTGCAGGGCAGCCCCTGAAAGGAACATGCAACGGCGCAGCTGGTGGGGATACGCGAAGCGTCTAGAATTCACCTCGAAATCCGGAACGAGATTCTCGAGGACACCCCAGGCTCGCCCTATCCTTTTCCGAGCGAGATCCGCTCTGCGATGCTGGCGCCATGAAGCCCTGGAGGCGAGAAGGCGGAACGACACGCAGGCACGACGCGGCACGGGCGCTGGCATGGCACGCTGGCAGCACCTTTTGCCGCATGGTCTGGAGCTGGGCAACGTCACTCCTCAAATTGCACCCGTGCCTCTTGTGAACGTTTTCTTCTTCCGCGTTCCGACTTTGGGCGGAAGCGGGGGGGGCGGGTCTGGCTCCAGACCTCTGCTGAATGCGACTGTCTGCAAGAGTGCGTCCTATGGGGAAGACTCCACCTGCTCGAAACAGGCGACCAAAGCAGCAAAGATCTACTCCATGGGCGGGGCGGGGAGGGGGTGCGAGGGCCCGCGCCGATCGGCGAAACAATGAATACGAAAACGATCACCTTACAACGTTCGCTGTTCGTGCAGATCCGCACCCGGTCAAAACTGGGCAATTCGCTGTTCACGACTGCTGACCAGACCACCCCAACCCAACCCGAAGACCCGAATTTCGGGTTGGGGGGGTACGGGTTCCGTGTGTGTTGTCTGATGTTCCCCGACCCCCCCCCCACTGGAAATGCAGGGCAACTTGAGGCCTTCGGCTTGGGTTGGGGTGGTTTGGAGGCCGCGCTGACGGCGTGCTTGGTTATCGGCTTGGGTTGGGAATATCATTATCATTTCTTGTGCAGGAAATCACGAACCACCGTTTCACACATTTCAAATATGCGAATGCATCGGACGAAAACGACACAGCGAGTTGTAGGATAACACGAACCAGGCGGTCCTACAACTCGTTCGGCCACGAACCACGCCTTCCCACAATCGACACCGTTAGCGCGTCTAGTGGTGGACGTTCACGACGCGCGTCGTGCAAACCCGCACCCGCGGGCCCTCTCAGAAGGCTCGGAAGCTCCCCTGCCTTCGGAGAAGTTCTCTGAGCCTTCCCCGAAGACACAGAAATCCCCTCCGAAGGCCAGGGGGTTGTGGTTCTCAGGAGCCCCGCCGCCTTCTGAGGAGGCCTCCTGCTTCTTGCGTCCCCCCCTTCTGAAGAGGCCGCCGCATTCTGAGGAGGCCGCCGCCTTCTGAGGAGCCCTCCCGAGGAGGCCCCCTCTCGGGTCGGGCGAAGGGGGGGGGGATAGCAAAGGGGGGGGTTGAGAATCAGCTCGCGTAGCTGACTTTCCCGGCGCCTCCCGGCTCCGGGAGGCGCCCATGCATCGAGGACTGGGCCCGGCGGCGGGGCCGAACCCCCCCCTTTCCCCATCCCCCCTTTCCCCATCCCCCCTTTCCCAATCCCCCCTTTCCCGATCCCCCCCCTTTCCCAATCCCCCCCTTTCCCCCCTTTCCCCGTCCCCCCCTCTCGTCCGGCCCGATCCTCCTGGAGGCGGCCGCCGCAGCTCTGGCCACGCCGCACGGCACGGCACGGCGCGCGAGGACGGCGCGCCGCGCGCGGCGCGCGGCACGCGGGCACGGCACGCGGGCGGGCGCGGCGCGGGCGCGGCGCGGCCCCGCGCGCGGGGCGGCGACCCCCTCGTCCGAGCGATGCCGAGTGCACGGCGCGGCGCGGCACGGCAAAGGCCCCGCACGCTGGAGGTCCGAGCCCCGGCACGGCGCGGCACGACGGCACGGCACGGCACCGGCTCTCGCCTTCGGGCAGCCGGCCACGGCGGTGCACGCGACGGCGCGGCAGACAGGTCGGGCTCGAGTGGACAGGACACGCGAGAGGGCACGAGACCCTTGCGGGGGCCACGCTGCCGTAGGATGCTGGACGCCACGACAACGGACACCCTAACAGTCCTATCATTGAACAGAACATGTGCTTGAGATGTCGGAAGCTGTTCTGGACATATGTTGAACATGTGTTGTGCATGTTTAGAGCATGTTGTGTTACATGTTTTAGGCATCTGGAAATGATTTGACAACATGCTTCCTCTCCATTGACCGTCCTCCACAACTGTAGGAATGCAGGAGGCATGGGTCGCATGACACCGGACACAAGGGTACCCTTGGTCTGGCAGGGTCGGCCTACTACTCAGGGCCGCCTGTAACAGCGTTGCAGCTGCTTGGAGTCTGGGTACAAAGATGGCCAGTCATCGAGCAAGAAAGGAGAAATGAGACTCCTTACAGAAATCGCCGTTGAAGGAACATGCGTCCACTATGAGAAAGAAGCATGGAGCACTGAGAAAAGCCAGCTGAGCCCTGGACGGGGATAAGAACCCGGGAAGCTTGTAGTACTCGGGGACGATGTAGCCGATGGTGGCAAACATGGACACGCGCCCGTGCTTCAGCTCGACCTCTCTCCTGCGGGCGAAGTTGAAGGCGCTCCCGTCGCTGGACAAGCCCAGGGGGTCCCAGAAGCCTTAGCATCGCACAACGTTCAGCCTGGAGATCAGCGGCGAACATGAGGGTCTTTGATCGCAAGTCAAGATACCCCAAAAACCTGGCCTCTTCGCGAGCAGCTCTCAAAGAATACGAAGCCAGAGAGGCTTGATTGGAAAAGCGTGTAGTCACCCTGCCATTGTCCGTCATGTTCGTTTTGCCATTATTCGCGGGAGTGCCCACACTTTTCTGGAAGGGAAGCAACACCGACACGATCAATCGTCGGTCCCCCTGAAAACATGTAAACATATGGGAAATGTGGGAAGCGGGGGAGAAGAAGAAGCACCGGCAAAGACATGCACATATGGAAACACCTGGGATTGGTGCACATCTGTTTGTGGCCCTGGGCCCCTTGCGGTGCCCCCGCGACCTCCGTAAAAAACGGAGCACGACGGCCAAGACAGAAACGGCACCAGCGGGCCTCCGAAGCGCGAGCGGCGGAAGCCGCGCGGCGCCGCGGAGCCAGTCGCCGGCCGAGGCGGTGGAAACTCTGGCTGGACCGACGTCGGAGCGCGAGCCGATCAGCAGCAGGAAAAGGAGCCCCAAGCCCTTGGGAGGGGGGGCCCGAGTGAGGAGGGCAACAACAAAAAAGGCTTCGGGGACAGAGGGGGGCCTTTTTTTTGTTCTGCGGGTGCATCCGACCAAACCGCCCAGATGCATTCATTGCCCCTCTCGTGCGAAGACGGGAACCTCAGTGAGGCCACGTCTTCACTATGCTGTTAGGACAAGAGGTTCTTTTCTTCTCGATAACAAACGCAATGAGACTTCGGGGAGGCAAACGAACGGGCCGCTTTTAAGGAACTCCTCCCCCTCCTTGGAAGGACGGGGAAGGGTGGGCACGAAGAGGAGAGAGCAAGATGCTGAGGGCCATCACGATGGCCAAGAGGAGTGGCAAGATGGAGAGGAGGTGACGGAGTCATTATTACGTTGGGTAGGGAGCTTGCCCAAGGTGAAGACATTCGACGGGCAACATAAACACGGAGCACCGACGAATGAAACCCGCCACGGGAGCTAACCGACAAAACGTGCCCTAGCAGGCAGGGCGGCAATCGAGGCAACTTATGTGTACATACATGCATCTATACATGCGCATTTAGGGAGAGGAGCAGGGATGCTGTAAGGACATTGCCGAAATACCGCAACACTGGCTGCGCAGAAGCCCCAGGAGAGGCCCCAGAGGGGGAACACGAAACAACATTTCGAGCCCTCGGCCATGGGCAGCCCCCACGAGGTCCCCAGAGGTCCCTAAGAGGCCCCAAGAGGCCCCCCACAGGCGGTCAGGAGGCCGCCAAAAGGCCCCCAAAAGCCCCAAAAAGGTACAACTCCCAAGAGCCTCCTGTGTACTGCCTCCCGCTGCGCGAAAGTGGGCCGGCGGAGTGAGCGAAGCGATTCATACATATCAGCACCGGCGGCGCAGAAAGCAACCAAACCATTCAGGAACCAATCAGCGAAGATAATGACATGCACGTTGATATCCGGAATGCACCGCCTCCGTGCCCTGAGGCACGACTTGGAAAGTTCTCAGGTCCTCCGGGTCCTCTCAGAAAGGGCCCACAGCCTGGCATTCCGGGCGCGCGCTCGGGCACTGCTGGCCCTTCACGCAGAGCTCCTTCAGAGCCGAGAGGGCCCCTTGACGGACCAAAAGGGCCCCAGGAGTCGCCCGAGATCGCTCCGAGACGCCCAAGACAGCATCCAGACGGCCCAAGCCCCAAAAAAGGCTCCAACATGCCGTCCAAGAGGGCACCGAGCGGCCGAACCGTGGATGTTCTGATGCTTGAAAGATCTTAGCGTTCAGGTGTTTAGGTGTTCGACCCTCCAAGACGGCCCTGGAGGCTCCCCCAAGATCACCCCAAGACGGTCCAAGAGGCTCCCGAAAGGCCCCCAGACGGCCCAAGAGGGCACCAAGACGGCCCAAAAAGTTAACCCCAAGACGGCCCAAGTGACCCCAAAATGGAGCCAAGAGAAGGACAGCGAATGTGCCCTCAGGGGCAAAGGTCGCCCCAGAGACCGCCAAGAAGACCCCAAGACGCCCAGAGTGCCCCCGAAGAGATTCAAAGAGCCCTCCAAGAGGCCCCCAAGATGCCCCAGGAGATACCAAAAAGATCACCCAGAGGCCTCCAAGAGGCAACCGAGAGGCACCCAAGAGGCCCCCAGAGGCTCCCAAGAGTCAATATGTGTTTATACATATATATATATATAAATATATGTATGTATATATACCGAAAGAGAGACATAGATGAGAGAGAGAGAGAGAGAGAGAAAAAACAAAATAAAATAAAAAAACAAATTGCCCTGCGACGTACCCAACCCGCGTGCATCAAATGGCAAGAGGAGTATGCCAACATTAGCAGGAACAACGACAGTATAGACGCGGCGATTTGCTGCGCAAGCTACATGGGATGCGCATGCGTTGCACGATTCACAGGACGACGATCGAAAGAACGAGGCTTGAGGCCCCAGGATCGAAGAAGAACGGGTACGGGAACGAGGGGTAGGAGAGGGATGGAATGGAGGGCGGGGGGGGCGAAAGGCCATCGCGGAAGCAGCAGCATGCATGGAGAAGGTGAGGCGGGGAATAGGACGACGATGAAAGTGGCGGGAGGAGACAGAAGACTGCCGCGTTTTTCAAGTGCGAGCTAAACCCGCAGCGCTGCCTGCGCCATGTCGTCGCAGAGTTCCACATGATAAAACTTGTTTAGAGTGCAAGGAACGAGCGAGGCGTAGCTCGCCCGCTAGCTTCTCCGCCTCCTTCCCGCACATTTCAGCGCGGGAGCTGAACGCTCGCAGGCGCGCCGCCAGGTCTGCGGGCGGCCCGCGGGAAAGAAACTCAAGGCCGGGGTCGCGTATCATCAATCGGTTGTCCATCGTCCAAAGTTGCACTGGCGACGTACTGGTTGAACGCGGAGCGAGCAGCATCACGCGCGTGCCTGAACGCCACGCAGGTACAGTGCACGCGCGATTGGGACTTCAGGTCGATCACGCGCGTCTCCACCAGGCTTGGCAACACCACGCGACTGAGGATCTCACTGCGGTCTGCCATGCTGCTGTCCGCGAATGCAATGCGCTGCCTGCAAGTAAGGCGGCGGCGTCCACTTGTCTCAGAAGATGTTCCCGCGGGCCCGAAGGGCGACCGCCAGCTCGAGCCGCGGCGCCGGCAGGCCAGATAAGGATCATGCAACAGCAAAGACGATGACAGAGCAACGAGGTATCGGCGAGTGCATGACCGGCCTCCGTTTCCTGCACTTCTTTCCTGTAGTTCCCCTAGCTCATCGAGCTCAGCAGATGTTTCTGCGGGTCCGAAGGACGACCGCCAGCTCGAGTCGCAGCGCCACGTGGCACGAACCGCAGAGCAAGGGCACGCGAGCATTGCTCGTGGTCAGAATCTGAGTCCCCGTGGTGCCTCACTCCGCTGGCCACCCACCAGCAGCCCTCGAAAGTGGCGACAGTTTCACAGATCGCAGCCGCCCAGGGGTGGCGAGGTCTAATCTGAGTCCCCGTGGTGCCTCACTCCGCTGGACCCACCAGCAGCCTCGAAAGTGGCGACAGTTTCACACAGGGATGGCGAGGTCTAATCTGAGTCCCCGTGGTGCCTCACTCCGCTGGACCCACCAGCAACCCTCGAAAGTGGCGACAGTTTCACAGATCGCAGCCCCCCAGAGATGGCGAGGTCTAATCTGAGTCCCCGTGGTGCCTCACTCCGCTGGACCCACCAGCAGCCCTCGAAAGTGGCGACAGTTTCACAGATCGCAGCCCCCCAAAGATGGCGAGGTCTAATCTGAGTCCCCGTGGTGCCTCACTCCGCTGGACCCACCAGCAGCCCTCGAAAGTGGTGACAGTTTCACAGATCGCAGCCCCCCCCAGAGATGGCGAGGTCTAATCTGAGTCCCCGTGGTGCCTCACTCCGCTGGACCCACCAGCAGCCCTCGAAAGTGGCGACAGTTTCACAGATCGCAGCCCCCCCCCAGGGATGGCGAGGTCTAATCTGAGTCCCCGTGGTGCCTCACTCCGCTGGACCCACCAGCAGCCCTCGAAAGTGGTGACAGTTCCGCAGATCGCAGCCCGCCAGGGATGACGTGAAAGGCAAGAGAAGAGAAGAGGAGGAGGAGCGAAGAGAGGAGGAGAAGGCAAGCAAGAGAGGAGAGGAGGAGGGAAGAGAGGGGGGGGGGGGCGGGAGGAGGAGAACGGAGACCGCAGTGCTCTATTCAAAACGAGTACCCAACGCAGGAGGGTTGGGAAAAAGAGAGAGAGAGAGAGAGAGAGATGGAGAGAACAACAAAATGAGAGCGATAGAGAGAGAGAGAGAGAGAGAGAAATATAGAGAGAGATACGGAGACACCACACGAGACCCCCGACAGGGTCTCTGACCCGCAGCCCAAGCACGAGGAATCTACGCCCCCTGGGATCGATCTGGCCCGAGTGAGGCCACTTGGGTACAGCTTGAGTCACGTAGCTTACATCCAAGAGGTGAGCATCCAAAGAAACTTCTGAAGGTATCCCAAGAATCACCGACAGCCACTCAAATGATGTCCAAGGCCCGGATGAGTGTTCGTGGGCGCAGGCAACGCTCAACACTTTTCACACCGTGCCCGCCGCGTCAAAAAAGGCTACGTACAGCACGGAAGCCTCAACCATCCCCAACGAATATCATGCGGCAGCGATGCTAGGCTTGGGCGAAGAGGCATGCCGAAAGAATGCCGACGCTGCCGCAACCGAATCCGCCACCGTGCCGTCAGCCACTACAGTGGGACTTGATTGGAGAGGACACGCGAGAGGGCACGAGACCCTTCCGAGGGCCAGGTTGCCATAGGAGTTCAGAAGGGGTCGCGAGACACGGGACACAAGGGTGCCGTCGATTTGGCAGGGCCGACCTACGAATCAGGGCCCACTCTACAGTCCACCCGTATCATGAGGACGCACAATAAGGATGCGCTGGCCTTGGAAAGCCCGTTTCGAAGGTTTTCGAGCGGGGCGCGGCCAACG